AAGTCTATGGACACGGAGTCTCCCGGCTGATCCGGAATAGGCAAGGGTCTGAGAAGACCTAGGGGCGCGCGTGTAATAGACTTATTCCTCTGGCACACTTTACAACTGCGGACATACTCTATGCAGTCATTCTTCATCCCTGGCCAGGTATATGCACGCATCAGGTTGGCTAATGTCTTTTGCCAACCGAAATGCCCCTCAGTATCGTGGCATTCCCCTAAAATCAAACTGCGGATCTCTTCGCTGTTGGGAACGCACAGGCGGTCAAACACATTAGTCTTCTCAAACAACAACCCATCTGTAGTGCGGTAATCTGGTTCAGTCTCTGGGGCCTCTCTAACTCTCCTTAGGAGGTCGCTATAGATAGGGTCCTGCGCATATGCTTGCCTCACTTTCTCCTGCAGGTCTCTCCCTATATCCAGATAGTGTACTAGAGCTCCAAAGTAGTCTGATCTCCTACTAAGAGCATCCGCAACTACTTGCCCTTCACTGGCTTGAGCTCAAAGTCGAATTGGTCTATCTTTGCGGCCCACCTAGTCAACTTAGGTGTCATATTGGTCTGAGTTTTTAACCATCTAAGCGTTTCGTGGTCCGAATACACTTTGAAGTGCCTCTCAAGCAGGTAGTGCTTCCAATGATCTAAAGCCTGCCTGAGAGCGTAGAGTTCTCTCTCGTACGTGGAGGCAGCAACCTTTTCACAGGGCATCCTCGCTGACATGAACTCTACGGRTCTATAGCCATTGTCGTCGTCTTGCTGCAACACGGCGCCTATCCCATACTGACTCGCGTCCGTGGTGACGACAAATGGCAAAGACGGATCTGCAACTTTGAGGACAGGATGYTCTATTAACGCGCGCTTTAGCTTCTTGAGCGCAGACGTACAGTCTTTGTCCCATTGCCAGATTGCCTCTTTCTTCAGCAATCGGCGCAAGGGAGCGGCGATAGTGGAGAAGTTCCTCACAAACTTCCGATAGTAGTTAGCTAAGCCTAGGAACGACCGCAACTCTGTCGATGTGCGGGGCGTCGGCCAATCTCTAATCGCCGCGATCTTGCTGTCCTCTTGCTTGATGCCATCTCCGTCTAATACGTGGCCCAAGTACAAAACTTGCGTCTTGGCCCACTCGCACTTCTTCGCGTTGATCTTGAAGTTAGCCTCTCTAAGCTTCTCCAAGACCTGCCTCAGATGACCCTGATGCTCCTGGAGGGTCTTACTAAAAACTACGATATCGTCTAGATAGACTACTACAAACTTATCTAACCATGGTCTAAACAGGTCATTCATACAACGCTGAAAAGTGGTTGGTGCGTTGGTTAGTCCAAAGGGCATCACTATAAACTCATAGTGCCCATATCTAGTCTGGAATGCAGTCTTATACTGATCATCAGGATGAACTTCTATCTGATGGTATCCGGACTTCAAGTCTATCTTGGAGAAGTACTTACAACCCTGCACCCGATCTAAAAGATCGTCTATCCTGGGCAGCGGCTCAGCATTCTTCACGGTGATCGCATTCAAACCCCTATAGTCTATGCACATACGAAACTCTCATTCCTTCTTGGGGACAAACAAGACTGGTGCTCCAAAAGGAGACGAACTGGGCCTGATCCAACCTTTCTCAAGGAGTTCGTCTAACTGCTTGCGAAGCTCCTCTAACTCTCTAGGGGACATCCTGTAGACTGCACCCTTAGGAATTCTACTGCCAGGCTCTATCTCTATCCTATGCTGGATGGGTCGCGACACTATTCCTGTCGGCGACTCGGTCAAGTCTTTGAATTCTTCCAGCAGCTTGGCAATTGTTGGATCTGTGGAGCTATCCTTTTCCTGGGCCTCAATGACAGGTCTAACATAAACTACAAAGACCTGGTCTTCTAACTACTCCTTTTTTACTAATCGCGCGAACGCGGGAGCACTGAGACAACAATGTGCCAAGGTGTTGTCTACACCTGACACATGGAACAAGCGGACAGTCCTAACTTCGTCTGCCAAGCTAGGGAGCCTACACTCATACTCTCTCAAATGAAGTGTGGCCCCTTCTGCCTCTCCCCAATCCATTCCTAACACTATATCAAAAGGAAGATCATCCTGCACGAGGAGAGTCAAAGAATGGAGGACCTTCTCCACTTTTCCATTCTTCTCTAGGCGAAAGTACGCCTGGACTCCCTCTACGTAGTCCTCAACGCGCATCGTGCGGTTGTCTGCGAGGACACTGACTATGGGGTCTACTAATTTCTGGACCTTTAGTCCTAGCCTCAGCTTCTTCAGCGCCCTACGGCTAATGTAACTACGGGTAGCCCCTGAGTCTATAAGGGCCCCTACTCTACTTCTGAACACCTCTACATCTACCAAAATCAGTTGTCCCTTACTCTCCCTTTTCATTTTGGCCCGAGCTGGCATCCTCTCCTTTAACTCTTTTGCCACACCTGTGAGGGACGTGCCTAAAGAGACGCTAACACAAGCAGTCTCTGGACAGCTATCTAGGCACGGGCCTGCAACCTCTGCCATAGGCGTATGTGGGTTGGGAGTGTCCTGTTCGCGCGCGCTCACTTCTCCACATGGCCTGGAAGTAGGGGCAGTTGTGACCCCTACTAGTGGCTGCCTTTTGATTGCTGAGCAGCCCATCGGGTCTGTCTATACTTTGGACAAAATTTAATTACGTGCGCCGGGTCACCACATAATACGCACTGACCCATGTTCACGCGTTCCTGCCATAATCGCTGGTCCAAGCCCAAGTCTTCCCAGGGCCTGCCCTGCGGCAAGCCTGGATGCCATCCTCCTTGAGGTGCCCTTCCACCTCCTCGCTGTGTGGATCGGTTACCCTGGCGATTTAACGGGGGACCTTGACTCCTACCTCCCGCTTGGCGGTTTCCCTGTCCGCCAACCCCCTGTGCGCCCTGGCCACGGCCTCCCATGGCCTGGCCCCTTTGGCCCTGGCCTCCTCCTCTACCTTGCGGCTTCCCTCCAGCCGCGACAGCAGCGTAAGACCTCCCCTGCCCTACACTCAATCTGATCATATGGGACCTCTTCTGTACCACCCTCCTCTAATGTCAGGATCAAGTGATCCTTGGCCTTGACTTGGCCCGAGATGGTACGATCTTTCCACTTCTTCCCCTTCTCCAGGTCCTTATGCCAGAAAGTGGTAACTGGCATAGACTTCGACTCATACAGGACGACTTCTCTACTCAACGCATCGTAAGTCATGCCGGCCTGCTGAGATTTGTCAAAGAAATGCCCGCGTAGGGCCTCCAGAATGGCACGATAAAACAACTGGACCAGCTGGGGCTCAGTGACCCCGTGGTCCGGGACGGCTACCAAGTCGTCCATAGTACCCTTGAGTGCCTTGGCACTCCTCCACTGCTGGGAGTGGATCGTTTGAAGCTTATCAGAGGCTCTAATGCCTCGCGTTGGGTCAGCGAACCGCTCCTTGAGGAGCTTGAGGAATTGGGAAAGAGGAGTGACTTTGGAATATGCAACCAGGTTGTTTTCACAACCGGCTGTACGCACAAGAGACCTGGCGAAGCTAGCCGCTTCATCTTTGAGGGTCTGGAAGGCCACAAGGACTTGTTCCTCGGCCAGGATATGCTGCAAGTAAATATAACTATTGACACTGGCTTCCCAGTTGTCAAAGTTTTCTTCCTTCTYTCCCCCGTACGCATCCGGAAACTTAAGCTTCACTGGGTCCTTACGGGGCCTGGCCTCTCCCTCTGCGACGGCTACAGCTTTGGCACCCTGAATGGCGCCCTCACAAAACTTCCCTACATGGTCTCTCAACTGTTTGACTTCGCCCCCAATATGGGTGACGATCTCGCGCGCAAAGTCTCTAAACCCTGACCGCATGGCACTCAAGGCTACATTTTGGCTCCAACTTGCCTGGCGCTCTTCCATCCAGGCCTTGCCCAAGACCTCTAGATAGCCCAGTACCTTGTCCCACTTGGCCTTATCATCTGGTTGGGCCAGCACCTCCGCTCTACACTCCTGCACCTTTGCCACTGCTGCGGTCATCTTATTCACTTCCTCTCTCCTCCTCTTCTTCTCCCTCTTCATTCTCAACTTCCATGCTAACTTTTGCTCGTCTTCCCTCTCTCTTCATTCCATTGGGTCTTTCATGGCTGCTAGCTCAGCGGCCAGCCCAGCCTTCTCATCCTTAGTCACATAGGACTCCGCCTCCTCGTCTTCCCCCAACGATAAATTAGCGACCCACTCGCTGATCTTCTTCTCCATCTCAGTATATGTCTCCCACTTCATCGTGCCACCACTGCTCCCTTCTCCACTCTCAATTCTCATTCTCTCTTTCTCTTCTTCTGCTGCCGCTTCTTCTTCAGCAGCCTTCCTTCTTTCTTCCTCCTCCTGTTGTACCCTCTTCATCTCCTCCTCCAACCTCTTCATCTTCGCCGCCTGCTCATCTGCGATAGCCTTTAGCTTCGCCTGCTTCTCGCGCTCTTTTCTCTCCTTGTTCTCTCTGACTAAGGCGGCCATCTTTTCTTGCTGCTCCTTGCTATAGGGGTTAGTCTCTAGCCCAGTACGGGTCTCCACCATGGTGATAGGTGCACAATCAGAATGATTCCACTCCTCACCACGTAGACTCTAACCCTTGACTGACAAACCTGTAGACTCAATCTAAGAACCCACAAAATCCTGACAAGGACCCTGTCAACTATGGTCTTTAGCCTAGACCTATGCTATGGCTGTCAATACTGAACCAGTGGCTGATCAGGAGGCATTTAAGGAGATCCCCCGTAACTCCTCAAGAATCCTTTAACGTCGCAGACAGGACGACGTGATCAGCTTGGTTCTGCCTGTGCTTTCAGCCCACAACTCAGCCTTTCCAGCCTACTGTGCCACACCGAGCAGCCCGCCRGTCTGTACCGGTCCTTGGGAGGGTTCGTATCCCCCGGGACAGTCGAGTCGTYAGACACAGATCATCAGCCTTACTTGGTCTGGTAGGAAAGTGGTTCGAACAGGCCCTCAACACTTAAAGACGGCCTCCGTTTCAGCCTGCAGCTCAGAGTTCGGACCCTCTACACTGAAACTGAGCAGACCTGCCGGACAGTACCGGTCATTTGGCTAGACGAGTTGTTTAACGAGCGCTCGCCGCTCATGCCCAGGTCGCGAGATACCAGAGTAGAGATTAGTCCTACTAAGTCCCGTGCAGGTTTGGCAGCAAGGCCCTATCCTTCATCCACAGAGTTCTATGACCTAGGACAGAAGAGACTCGATGCAGAAAGAATAGACAGACAAACTGTACTCAGCAAGTACAAAGGGGTATGTGCACATCCATGGGGCAAGGGGCAGGCTAAGGGCTTGGCGAGATGTTACCAACTCCAGCTTGGTCAAAGTCTTGGTCAACGCCTTGGTCAACGACGGTCAACGCTGCTATGACCCTCGGTCAACTTCGGTCAACTCTGGTCAATGCCTCCGGTCAACCCTCTCGGTCAACTCCCCGGTCAGCTATGGCTGCCGGCACTTCTTCCTCGCCAATCCCCTTCTTCTTCCTTACCTCCCT